GTGTGTGTGTGTGTGTGTGTGTGTGTGTGTGTGTGTGTGTGTGTGTGTGTGTGTGTGTGTGTGTGTGTGTGTGTGTGTGTGTGTGTGTGTGTGTGTGTGTGTGTGTGTGTGTGTGTGTGTGTGTGTGTGTGTGTGTGTGTGTGTGTGTGTGTGTGTGTGTGTGTGTGTGTGTGTGTGTGTGTGTGTGTGTGTGTGTGTGTGTGTGTGTGTGTGTGTGTGTGTGTGTGTGTGTGTGTGTGTGTGTGTGTGTGTGTGTGTGTGTGTGTGTGTGTGTGTGTGTGTGTGTGTGTGTGTGTGTGTGTGTGTGTGTGTGTGTGTGTGTGTGTGTGTGTGTGTGTGTGTGTGTGTGTGTGTGTGTGTGTGTGTGTGTGTGTGTGTGTGTGTGTGTGTGTGTGTGTGTGTGTGTGTGTGTGTGTGTGTGTGTGTGTGTGTGTGTGTGTGTGTGTGTGTGTGTGTGGGGGGGGGGCCGCCACCGCCACAAGCCAGGCCAATCAGGGCCACGTATCTCCTAAGTGATAAAATGACATTAATCATACTTAATCATAGTCTCTTGAGGGAGATAGATGTGAGCAAAGTTCCTCTCCACTTATAGTTCTACAATGGCCTGCCGTAGGGGACGGAGTGAATTAATTACTGTAGGAATTAATTAGTGTAATTACCTTTCTCATTGATGGATGAAGATTAGGCCTCTCAGAGGTGGCACAGTCAACTCTCTCGTCACAATGATATAGTTGAAAATGATCTACAAGAACATTTTCTAGGGAGAAGTTTGTCTCGCAGATATATCTTGGAATGGGTTGGGAGCCCATCTCCCACAATCTTGTACAGATCTGGTACAGATCTGCGTCACAGAGTTTACAACTGGAGTGTTCACTGTTGGGGGAGTCATTACCTCCTATAAGTAACGTTGTTGTTGTTTAAGATTTGCTATTTGGAACAAAAAGTTCCAAGTAGCACGGGCTATGGTGAGCCCGTTGTGGACTTACCTGGCTGTAACTTGAAATAAGTAACGATATCTCAATCTAATGATGACAATTACAATGTCATTCTGGTGGATGTTGTCCGCGTATGTAGTACTCGGCTCTAAACTAGTGTTTTTTGCCCTTTGAGTCCTTTTTTTGTCCTAATTTCTTGAAATGGTGTTGTTTTGACAATAGATATTGGGATACCTGGGTCATGTTCAGTTTCATGAGTATTACATGCAGTTTTAGCTGTCTTGTCTGTATCAAATTGTAGCACAACACCTTTGTCAGGTGGCAGTCATACAAAGGAGATTCTGAAACTCTTGCTTTCTACATAAGTTATTTACAATTAATGTTGAAACAACCCTAGTATTTATTTATGATGGGCTTTCAAATGCATGAAGAGTTGACTTTGAATCACATAAAATTGCTCCTGTATTTTTCAGTGTTAGTACTAGTTGTGCTTGCGGAGGGGGGGGGGGGGGTTGAGCTCTGCCTCTTTGGTCCCGCCTCTCAACTGTCAATCAACAGGTGTAATTATGGAGTGTGTACCCACCTGAGACCAGCAGAGGACTGCGCCAACCACTTAATAACAGGAGTAAGACGGATAACACGCGGGTCGTTCTCAGCATCTTCACTCGGAAACTTCTTATTGCGCCAAAGTTAAATCGACGACTACTAACGATCTTCCAGCACAGGAAGGTTGAAGCACTTATCACTTGATAGATAGATTACTAGTGAATAAGATCATTACATACTCTTCTTCCTGGCGACACAAAGTGATGAATGTATAACTGGAGCGTCGTGGAGCTACATGAGGCAGAGCTCACACACAGGCCGTAGTAACTGGAGCCTCTCTCTCACGAGAGCCATTCCACATAACTTGGTTCAATGGATTTGTTAAGTGTAAGGCTTTAGGAGCTAGGGTGAGTTGCAGGCTTCCCGGACGCAGGCCTAGAGGATTAGTGAGCTGGAGTTAGCATCGCTGCGGCCGACAATACCCCCAGCTCGTCTAACGCGGGAGGCGGTGTAGGTGTCAACTAGCGGACCTGGCATGTGTACCGCCCGACACTACCATCCCCACCTCTCTACTCCCCTTGATGTGTTTGCAGAACGAGCTTTAGCTCCTAGGCTCGGCCTTATAGTCGCCTATAGTATAGTGGAAATGGTAACCAACTATTCAGACAAAGGACTTCCAGTAAATGTTGGATATATGAACTTTGGCCGAAACGCTGGGTGTATTAGTGGCTTTAGGCATTGTATGTAGTACTGCCACAGGAGCGGGGCAAGTAGCACGGGCTATGGTGAGCCCGTAGTGGATTTACTTGGCACAGGAGCGGGGCAAGTAGCATGGGCTATGGTGAGCCCGTAGTGGTCTTACCTGCTACAGGAGCGAGGCAAGTAGCACGGGCTATGGTGAGCCCGTAGTGGATTTACTTGGCACAGGAGCGGGGCAAGTAGCACGGGCTATGGTGAGCCCGTAGTGGTCTTACCTGCCACAGGAGCGGGGCTGTATGGTGCACCCCTATCTTGATCACTATATCCAAGCATGGAGACCTCACCTTCGGAAGGACATATCTGCTTTGCAGAGGCACATCTCCTATGCCAGGAGAGTCCACTACGGGCTTACCATAACCCGTGCTACTTGGAACTTTGTGTTCCGAGTAGGTGAATCTAAAACAACAAACAACGCTTTGCAGAAAGTTCAACACAGAAAATTCATCCCAGAACTAAGTGAACTCTCATACCAGGAATGGTTGAGGGCCACAGGACTGTAGCGAGTATAAACAATATACTCACTACCGGAGTTTATGGTTGGTGCTACATAGCCTTCCCGGTTTGGTGCCTTCTATTGATAATTACTTACTTACTTACCGGACTAACAACACTGTAAATCAGACATGACACGGCAGATATCATCATGACCTTGAATATACTGAACAAGTTGGATGATATTAATCCCGACCACTTCTTTAAAAAGCAAAATATAACACATACAAAGGGCAACAGCTTCAAGCTCAACAAGCTCCAGTATAGGATAGAAAACAAATGCGTTTTCGCATATTAGGTGAGTACATTGAGGTTATAAGTACATAACCATTGTAGTCCTACAATGTACATAACCATTCTCAGTCCTACATATTGTAGGACTGAGAATAGGAGATGCTTTTTCACCCACAGGGTTATAAACCCATGGAACCGCCTACTCGACGAAGCCGTAAAAATCAAAACTCTGTTAACTTTTAATGTACAACTGGAAAAGATTACCATGCCAAATGGGGACCTTCGACAAGCCACCGGCTTCCTGTCCCAATTGAGGCCACTAGTGTTAGTAGCTCTCAGGTAAACTCAGGTAAACCCATGGAACCACATACCCGACGAAGCTGTAAATGGCAAGAATTACTTCAACTCAAAATCAAATTGAAAAAATTATTCTGAAATAATAGGGGACATTTGACAACCCGCCAGCTTCCTGTCCCAGTCGAGGCCACTAGAGACTGTGGCCCTTAGGTAAATATTTATCTAAAGTAGTCTGACCAATGCCATTCCTGACCTTAAACGCTTCCTAGAATGTTGTAAAAGAACCCATGGGCACCACACTGGAAACAAGTACCTATTTGATATTCCAAGAATGCGACTTAACCAAACTAGAAATGCTCTGCAAATCAAGGGACCCAGAATGTGGAGTGACCTTCCCGATCACGTCAAAGATTGTCCCTCTCTCACCAGTTTAAGAGAAAAACCAAATACTACATATTAAACTCCATGTAACATACCTTACCCCCTGAATGTCAACCTATGTCTTGCTATTTTCAAACAATATTCATTATAGACCAACTTGCATAACTGCTGATATATAAACTAAAAACAATTGTAATCTTCTGTTTATTTAGTTAAAATTACTTCTGCAGTTCTGTTTCTATTTTTGCTGTTCAATCCATCATTTAATTATTATAATTTATTTTTTATTTTTTTCATTTTCAATTCAATTTATGCTCTTGATCTCAATTAGTTTTAAGTTTTGGTCTGTGTTTTCCCCTCATCTTGCCCGAAACGCTGTGCGTATTAATGGCTTTAGGCATAGTATGTACTAGCTCTATCTAAAAAATCCAACATTATGTTTGTAACTCATTTTGAATAAGGGAGGAAGTTATGAGAAAGTGCCAAGCCATCAAGACTATAAGCACTTGGAAGGGATCACGATAAGGATTTAGGATGGGGCGGAGGGACAGAAATGGTGCCCAGCCACTTGGACGGTCGGGGATTGAACGCCGACCTGTATGAAGTGAGACCATCGCTCTACCGTCCAGCCCAAGTGGTTGAACTCATTTTCAATGAGTTTTTACCTGAATAAACATTATTATTATTATTATTATTATTATTATTATTATTATTATTATTATTATTATTATTACAGTATTACAATTTTTATTCAAAATATATAGTCTTAAACATACCATCCCAATCGTAAGCTTGTAAGTACATTTAATATAGGCGCTATGTTAGTGACCCCTCAGGTAAATTCAGGTAAATAATAATTATTATTATTAATGATAAGATTGGTGCAGGAAGAGTAGAGTAGTGGAGCGTAGGAGAGCAGCTTAAACATATTATCCCAATCGTATGCTTATAAGTACATTAAACATAGGCGCTAAGTCCTCGTCGCGGCCCCTAGATTGTTAGTGACCCCTCAGGTAAATTCAGGTAAATAATTAGTATTATTATTAATGATAAGATTGGTGCAGGTAGAGTAGAGTAGTGGAGCGTAGGAGCGCGGCGCACCGGGCTGTAAGCGACGTGTTGACACTTCTCCCTTGGCTGCTGCTGCTGCTGCTGCACCTTATCCAGGCTTGCCACAACTCCTAAATCAACAACTTAACTTGCTGGTGAGCAGTCTTATCTACTCATCTAGTCGTCTTCTTTAGCAGCAAGACGAGTAGAATGTTGTCTGCCGGGGCACTATATGGGTCTGGAAGTTTGGATTTGACTGAACTAAAAATCAGTCGCAAAATTGGCAAGTTTTCCTCGAGAAACTTTGTCGTAGTCTGAGAAAAGTTTCCTTTGTTGAGGTGGTTGGTGGGTATTATCGTCTCGGGGCGCAGCTGCTTGTACAGTATACTAGCAGTATACTAGCAGCTCCGTACCTACTGCTTAGTCGCCCAAAAGTGACTAGATTTGTTTAGACTGAGCATACTAATCTCCTTAAGTTCAAGGTAAACAATCTGTTGCGTCATGATTTTTTTAACTGAAGAGTGAAAACAATCTCGACTGATCTGTATATTTTTTCGTTTAAGATTTGTGTGCGAAATATATATAAACAATATAAAGGCACTATTTTCATGAAATTTCACATATTGTAATTGTCATAATTTTGTATAATTATTACTTTTTTTTGTCTTCTATAGAACCAAGGTGTTTTGAGTGTTTTTTTTATTATCAAAATTAGGCATACACAGCTGTGTGCTGCTACCCTATTCTGTATGAGATATTACACACTGTAGATAAAAAAAAACTAGCAATAGGTTCAACTAACATTCCCATCTCACAGGATGGTTAGTCATGCATGGAATTAGTGGGGAGATAATACCTGCCTTAATACAAAAACAAACTAGCTCTGACCGAACAACTAGCTATAAGTTCATCTAATATTCCCATCTCACAGGATGGTTAGTCATACATGGAATCAGTGGAGAAAATACCAGCCTCATTGCAAAACACATCAATGCTGACTAAACATCAGGTTAGAACAGAAAATGTAAAGCTATTAGCCCCCACTAGCAAAATCTGGGTACAGCATAAGAATATATTTCAGTATTCCTAAGTGTATGAAGTAATTACAGAGCTCAAAGTACCTCATACCATTAGGTATGAAGTCACTTATAACAGGGTAATCACAGATACAGTATAGTGTGGGAGAGTACGTCCCAGCTCGTGTTCACAGTTTACAATTGGAATGTTCACCATTGAGGGATTTATTACCAGCAGCCACCTGCCATAGTTATTGATATCCCAGCCTAATTCTGGCAATTACAATGTCACACTGTCTAGTGGATGTTTTATGCGGCCCATATATATAATTCTCCCTTCTAAACATGTCATAGCTTTTTATACTTGTGCTTTCTGGCCTGTGTGTGTCAGTGACTGTTCTTCTGTTTTCCCTATTGAGAGTGGTAGTGAAGGGAGGAGGGGAGTGGGGTGGTCATAAATTAATGGAAGCTTGCATAAAGCATTAAGATGGACCAATTAAGGTGATGACCTGACCTGTGTTGCTTGATAACTTTACACCCATGACATTAACATGCAACAAAGTGTTTATGGTGGGTGTTGCTAATTATACCCCCCCCCCTCTCTCTCTCTCTCTCTCCCTACTTCTCCCTACTTCTCCCTTTCCCTCCTCCCCTCCCCCTCTCTTTCTCCCTCTCTCCTCACCCCCCTCTCTCTCCCTCCCTTTTTCTCTTTCTCTCCCTCTCTTGCCCTGCCTCTTTCATCACCCCTCTCCTCATTCTCTATTTTCCCCCATCTCTCTATCTCTCCCTATCTCTTTCTCCCTATCTCTTTTTCCCTATCTCTTTCTCCCTATCTCTTTTTCCCTATCTCTTTCTATCTCTTTCTCTCCTATCTCTTTCTCCCCATCTCTCTCTCTCTCTCCTTATCTCTTTCTCCCCATCCCTCTCCCTATCTCTTTCTCCCCCTTCTCTCTCTCTCTCCTTCCCCCCCCTCCTCTCTCCTCTCTCTTTCTCCCTCTCTCTCTCCCCCCCTCTCCCTCTCTCTCCCTCTTTCTCCCCCCCCCTCTCTCTCCTCCTCTCTCTCCCCTCTCCTCCCTCCCCTCTTTCTCTTCCCCCCTCTCTCCCACCCTCTTTCTTCCACACTCCTCCTTGTTTCTTCATCCCTCTCTTTCTTTCCTCGTCAATCTTTCTATCCTTCTATCTCCCCCACCCTCTTTTCCACTCTTCCCCCTCCTCCTCCTGTCTCTCTCCCCTCCCTTTCTCTCCCAGTCTCTTTTGCCACCCCCCCCTGCTCTCTCTCTCTCTCTTCCTCTTTTCCTTCTTTACTCTTCTCTTCTCTGTCTTTCTCCCCAAAGAAAATAGTGCTGAAAAAATGTACTTAAGTTCTTTTGGGAGCAGAGTTTTAAACAGTTGGAATAATTTAGATGAGATGGTGTTGGAAATCAAAACTATTGGAAGCTTCAAAACATCACATGGCAAAGATTATAGGGTAGACGGGACACCACTAACATACCTTCATCAAGTTACTACTTGTGAGTAATTATACAGAAATGCTAACTGTGCAGTGTAAGCCTAGCATAAAGCACGGTTTATTGTACGCCAACTTGCATTAGTTGTACGCTGTATCCGTCATGATTCTCCCTTCTTCCCTCAGCTCCCTGCTTGCGGAGGATAGCTACAATGAAATTAGTGTTAATTCTAACACTCATCCGCACTCTGTTAGTGCATGCCAGGTCAGTGAACTTTTTATTTGAACAATGTTTATACTGTAATTTCTTTCTGGAAATATTTACAGTATTGGTATCCATAGTAATTCTTTGCTATAGACATTTCTTGTTTTCTGTTATCTTGTTATACTGTTTCTTAAAGAAGCTTCATTGTATGTATTTAAAAACAACATTTAGTTTAGGTATTATCTTAAAAATATGGTTACCTAACTTGTGGTGATTCTGAGGATCAATTTCCCCACGGCCCAGGAACCAATCAGGAGTACCTGATTGGAATGGAGTACCAATCAGGAACCAGGCTTCCTGATTGGTACTCCAGTCAATCAGGCTGCTAAAATACTGCAGCTTGTAGTTTGCCATGTGAATCACTTCCTGGTTGATCAGATATCATTTTGTTTATCAAGTTCTCTTTTGAACATTGTTATGAGTTATGTCCATTTTGAATAGAGGGAGTGTGTTGACAAATCTTGGGCCCTTAATGTTAGATTATTGTAACTTAGTGTACCCAATGGTTCCTTAATATATATTAATTTTCTAGGAGGTTGTTTATTGTTTTTGTTAATGATTCGCTACCTGGAACAAAGTTCCAAGTAGCACAGGCTATGGTGAGCCCGTATTCTAGGAGGGCTCCTATAGTAGCTTCCCAGACGTAGCTCTGGTTGTTACATTAACTGCATGCACTATGCATTCTGCATCCTATATATCGACTTCCAAGAGCTAGGACCAGAATCTGGCTTACTCTATGAGGTAAGGGGAGTTAAGGGATTGGAGATTTGACCCAAAATAGAGAAAAAGCCCAACAGAAAGCATAGGCGATTACTTTACAAATATTAGGCACTCGTAGCCTGGTGGAGGGGCCTCCCTGGTGGATAAGGACTCGTAATTCTGTGGCGCGGGTTCGAACGAGGCAGAAACAATGGGCAAAGTTTCTTTCACCCTGAATGCCCCTTTACCTAGCAGTAAATAGGTACTGGGAGTTAGTCAGCTGTCACCCTGGGGGTGGAGGCCTGGTCGAGGACCGGGCCGCGGGGACACTAAAAAGCCCCGAAATCATCTCAAGATAACCCAAAAGTGCAATTGATTATTTACCCTAATAAATACCCTAAAGGCACCATAAACATGCAATTGATTATTTACCCTAATATATACCCTAAAGGCACCCTAAAGTAAACAAGCAATTGATTATTTACCCTAATAAATACTCTAAAGGCACCCTAAAGTAAACAAGAAATTGATTATTTACCCTAATAAATACCCTAAAGGCACCCTAAAGTAAACACGCAATTGATTATTTACCCTAATAAATACCCTAAAGGCACCCTAAAGTAAACACGCAATTGATTATTTACCCTAATAAATACCCTAAAGGCACCCTAATAAATGTTGCCTTGGGGTAAATACCCTAATTGTAATGCACTTGACCAACATCACATGGCAGCCTAGGTCATGTGCCGTCTCGGCAAGTCTGCCAACTCATTCTTCCACTTGGTACACTTCTGCAGCTATAGGTTCAACAAATGCTGCACGCTGTAACAGTTGTTGAGGTTACTTGTGTGGAAACTTGTAGGGGGACCTAACCTACGACACTGTCCCAGGAAGGTGAGGTGAGAAAGTTTAGAGTTTGCAGAGAAATTAGAGTTCATAGCTATAAATAATTACGGTATTATCATTTAGTCTCATTTAAATTTAACTTCAATTTAATCGTGTGTATCGGGTGTCTAAACCAGTTGGTCATTGTTGCCTTCTCAGAGCCTCGTGGAGCACTCAGTGGGACGTCCTAATATTCACACAGCAGTGGCCAATAACTAGCTGCATTAGCCACTTAATACAAAACCCCGATGGAGCATGCAATCTTTTCCCCAATATGACTTCTTGGACAATTCATGGAATATGGTAAGTACAGTACTGTATTGTCAGCATTTTGTAATTCTGCGTAATGCTGAAATTTGTGTTTACTATTTATGGATTTTTTTTCTCTACGTGCATCTATTAGTACTAATAAATGATCAAACTCACTGTAGCAAGAAAAATGACTTGCTACATAATACTGTGTAGCATTGACTTGTTTCTCAATGCCATGTAATACAGTATTAAGAAAATAATCAGCTTTTAATTAAAAATGTACTCGTCTTTTTCAGCATCTAAAGTATGTGACTTTGCCTAACTCTTAATGTGTGGCATTGTATTTTTATGCTGCTTCCCATTGCAAAAAATATTATCATATAATCATGAAGTAATATCAGAAATAATATACAGTATAAAGCAATCAAGAAAAATAGAAAACAAAGTCATTCTCAGAAGTAGGTTTTGATGAAGTTAACACATTCATTTGAGCACGTGCTTATACAGTATGTTATAATAAATGTACAGTGTTATATACAGGTATATCTAATACTGATAATAACTAAAATACTGTACAGTGGAACCTTGATTTACGAATGCCCTATATTACGAATTTTTCGGTATATGAGGTCAATTTCCTTGTAAAATATGACTCGGAGTATGACGTTTGTCTCAGAATATGAGTTTGCTGATAGGTACATGTATGGGTCAAGCACGTGAGTTCTGCTGGTCACAGGGTGAGGCACGCTCAGTTTACCAGTGTATCCCGCCTAGTGATGACCGTGCTTGAATTTTTTGTGAAGAATTTCATTGTTTTTCTGCATTTTGGTTTCTGAACTTAAAAGTTCTTATATATCACACAATGAGTCCCAAGAAAGTCAGTGGTAAAGTTCAACCTAAGAAAATAGTTGTGAGGATGATGGTAGAGGAAAAACAAGAGATCATTCATAAACATGAAGATGGTATGGGGGGTTGTTGATCTAGCTAGGCAGTACAATAAATCTCTAATAAAACTACTACTTAAGAAAATGTGTGCAGCATGGGAATAACTGCAAAGTTTTGCTGAAATAACTCGCCCAGATAAAGCTGTAGCAGGCTATTGCATTAACCTTTTTAATGACAATGTGATGTCTCTCCCATGACCTATGGTGGCATGGGAGTGGTATTAATTACTCATTGGAGCTAAGCCACAGACACTGAGGAAACCACCAGTAAGAGGCATTTCAATAAATTCAACCATTTATTTTGCCCCATGGTAGACACCCTGCCCATTTGTTTGATTCATATAGACTGAGGGTATGAGACAGATGTGGCAAAAGCAGGAGACAATTTAACAGGGTCACATACAAGATGTGTTACCAAATAAATATGCAAAGACCAATTAAATAGGATGTCATGCATACCAACTACATAAGAGTACTCATATAAATGCAGGTGTAGTGAACAGTATTCTGCCAGAAGTCTATGTTAATTTATGATGATGCCCACAGGTCCAGTTTGACCATCCATGTCCTTTCATTAACCTTTTATTACTTTTTGTTTATTCATTTAGATAAATATTGTTTTTATAATTTATATTACACTCCATAGGCCCACCAAGCTTGGAACCATTGGTCCAAATTTTTGTAACAATTCGTGGCATTTCCAAGAGGCAGAGATTATTCAGCTCGAGCCCTACTTAATTAAGTACTGGGGCAATATATTTGCTGAAGACCCCCAGACATCTCTTTGGAAGCACGAGTGGGTGAAACACGGCACGTGTGCAGCCGAGCTTCCTGCCCTCAGTTCGGAAAAAAAATATTTTGAAAAAGGTAAAGTTTTCAGGAATTTGAATATTTAAATTGAATACAGTACAGTATTACTTTTAATAAATGCCGACATAATGCAATTGTATTAATGTATGCTAATACTGTATACGTTTTGCAAAGCTTTCATTTGGCTGCATTTCTCAAATCCACTACTGTATTTTGTTTTAATCTTTGAATATTCTATTAATTTTTTTTTACCCTCCTTGGAAAGTACCTCTTAGCTGTTGACCAAACTACACTAGAAAGTGAAGGGACGACGACGTTACGATCCGTCCTGGACCATTCTCAAGTCGATTATGGACTTGTGTGGGGTTTGGTCAACATATTTCAGCCACATTATTGTGACTCCTCGTCTGTCTCTTAGTGGATCTAATTATTTATTAATAAACCTACTTTTCCAGCTAGGTGTTCTATAACAACTGTATAATGTATTACTAATTTTTATGTTACATAAATGAGAATTAAAATGAACCTAAATAATAAAGTTCCCTCATTAGCTAAATTACCAGTGAAAATAGTGTTTAATTATGTTACTGCTCTTCTTAATGTATTTTTCTTCCACAAAGTACTGTAGCTACTTGTATGAACATTGATGTGAGCCTAGATCATTACGGCTAACATGTTCTTATATGCAGTCTCAATCTTCCACAAATTTTTGTTATATGTTACATCAGCAAGGTACCAAGGGAAGCACAATCACATGCACCAGACCAGTTTTCTTTATTTAATTAACACTGCCTGGCCCAGCAGGCCACCCGCAGCTCACCGCAAGGTAGGCCGGGCGTTGCCGGTGAGCACACAACCCAATGTTAAACTCTCATTCTCAATGTTTATACTTACTAATAAGAATAAGCAAAAATTAATGGATGAAAGCATTGACGTCATGCCCTGAACTGCGTGTATTGTTTTGATGACTGCAATAATCATCATCAGGACGTCAAAGCGTTAAGTGGTGAAAGTAAGTGATAGAAGGCTGGTCCCAATCAGAAAAAAGGAGAATGGGAATAGGGTGCAGAGAGGAAAGCAAGGAACGCAAATATTGGATAAGGGAGAATACAATTTGAATTGGAAAAGTGAGAGTTGAAAAGGATAAATTTTTGGTGGAAGTGAAAATGGTAAAAAATTCTATTACCTGGATACAGACACACACACACACACACACTTTCATTCTGGAGACATTCTTGTATCAACACATAAAGCAAGCCACAAGAATGAGGGAAGGAGATATACCGTCAGTACTGGATCTAGTATTCACCAGGAAAGAAGAAGAGATTTTTGACATCCAGTACCTTCCTCCCTTGGGAAAGAGTGATCACGTCCTGTTAGACATTAAATATGCTTTAAGATATCATCTAGAAGAAAATGGGGACATTGAAACAATAAACTCATTTAAAGAGAGGCAACTATGGGGAACTTCGAAATTTTTTTAATGAGTGTAATTGGACAGAATTGTTGCTAGGCAGGGAAGTAAATGAAATGTATGCCAAATTTTTAAAACTATGAAGGCACACAAACATTCATACCAAAACAGAGATGCAGGACCAGAAAACAGGATTGGTTCGACAGAAATTGTGAGAGGGCAAGAGACCAAAAGACACAAAAAGTGTATAGAAGAGGCCAAACCCCCAAACATACCAGCGATACAAAGTGCGAGAAACAATTATACAGCAGTAAGGAGAGAGGCAGAAAGGAATTTTGAAAAAGGGATAGAGATAAATGTAAAACAGAACCGGGCCTATTCTACAAATTCATAAACAACAAATTGCAGGTAAAGGATAATATCCAGAGGTTGAAAATGGGAAACAGATTCACGGAAAATGAAAAGGAAATGTGTGAAACATTAAATGAAAAGTTCCAAAGTGTGTTTGTACAAAATGAAATCTTCAGAGAACCAGACACAATAAGAATTCCAGAGAACAACATAGAGCGGATAGAGGTGTCTAGAGATGTATGCTAAAGGAGCTCGGGAGGAGCAGTTTCACCATGGGTTCTGAGAGAATGTGCATCTGAGCTCAGCATTCCACTTCACCTGATCTTTCAATCCCTGTGTACTGGAATCGTAGCAGACGTGTGGAAACAGGCTAACATAGTTCCAATCTACAAAAGTGGCAGCAGGGAAGACCCCCTCAATTAAGACCTGTAATTGACAAGTGTAATAGTGAAAGTATTGGAAAAGCTAATCAAAACTAAATGGGTAGAACACCTGGAGAGAAATGATATAATATCAGACAGACAGTATGGTTTTCGATCAGGAAGATCCTGTGTATCGAATTTACTCAGTTTCTATGATCGGGCCACAGAGATATTACAGGAAAGAGATGGCTGGGTTGACTGCATCTATCTGGACCTAAAAAAGGCTTTCGACAGAGTTCCACATAAGAGGTTGTTCTGGAAACTGGAAAATATTGGAGGGGTGACAGGTAAGCTTCTATCATGGATGAAAAATTTTCTGACTGATAGAAAAATGAGGGCAGTAATCAGAGGCAATGTATCGGAATGGAGAAATGTCACAAGTGGAGTACCACAGGGTTCAGTTCTTGCACCAGTGATGTTTATTGTGTACATAAATGATCTACCAGTTGGTATACAGAATTATATGAACATGTTTGCTGATGATGCCAAGATAATAGGAAGGATAAGAAATTTAGATGATTGTCATGCCCTTCAAGAAGACCTGGACAAAATAAGTATATGGAGCACCACTTGGCAAATGGAATTTAATGTTAATAAATGTCATGTTATGGAATGTGGAATAGGAGAACATAGACCCCACACAACCTATATATTATGTGAGAAATCTTTAAAGAATTCTGATAAAGAAAGAGATCTAGGAGTGGTTCTAGATAGAAAACTATCACCTGAGGACCACATAAAGAATATTGTGCAAGGAGCCTATGCAATGCTTTCTAACTTCAGAATTGCATTTAAATACATGGATGGCGATATACTAAAGAAATTGTTCATGACTTTTGTTAGGCCAAAGCTAGAATATGCAGCTGTTGTGTGGTGCCCATATCTTAAGAAGCACATCAACAAATTGGAAAAGGTGCAAAGACATGCTACTAAGTGGCTCCCAGAACTGAAGGGCAAGAGCTACGAGGAGAGGTTAGAAGCATTAAATATGCCAAAACTAGAAGACAGAAGAAAAAGAGGTGATATGATCACTACGTACAAAATAGTAACAGGAATTGATAAAATCGACAGGGAAGACTTCCTGAGACCTGGAACTTCAAGAACAAGAGGTCATAGATTTAAACTAGCTAAACACAGATGCCGAAGAAATATAAGAAAATTCACCTTCGCAAATAGAGTGGTAGACGGTTGGAACAAGTTAAGTGAGAAGGTGGTGGAGGCCAAGACCGTCAGTAGTTTCAAAGCGTTATATGACAAAGAGTGCTGGGAAGACGGGACACCACGAGCGTAGCTCTCATCCTGTAACTACACTTAGGTAATTACACTTAGGTAATTACACAAAAAAAAAAAAAGGCACAAAGACGAGTTTAAATATTGAAGGGTTGATAGAAAAAAAAACACGAAAATGTTGTGACTAAGAAGAATCCCACGTGGCAATTATACACACAAGCAAATTGTATCCAAATCAAAACATGGCATTAGCAATTGTAGCTAATCAATAAAATATGCAGATTGACAATTCCTTAAGCATTACACAAGAAAAAATTAGCAAAGGCAATATTTATTTGACGGCCACTATCTAGTGACCTCAATGAGGGATTGCTGGTGACTAGTCAAAGATCCCCCCCCAACCCCCATTTGTCCTTATGATTTTGTTGAGCTGGATTTTGATATACAGCAGTGTTTTGGTATTTACGGCTTCGGCGGGTACAGTTCCACGGGTTTATAACCCTGTGGGTGAAAGAAAAGCATCACCTGTTTTCTGTCCTGCACTGACTTGTTGAGTTTCAAACCCTTGCACCTTGTTCGGGTTACATCTGACCTTTTGAAGAGGTGGTCTGGATCAATATCCACCAAACTGTTCAGTATTTTAAATTTCAGCGAGATCAGCTCTGTCATTCATGTCTGGTTTACAGTGTTGTTAGTCCTGTGGCCCTGTAAATGATTTTTGTCAGCCGGAGTTTTTGGTAGATAATGTACATAATTAAGCATGTTGAAGATTAATGCACTTAAATATTCTAATTTTGTATTAGGAAAGGAAAATGAAGGTTTAACAAGCAAGATCCCAGTCATAGAAGCATGTTATTAAGTGAGAGCAAGTAGTCATTGCCCTGATGAGTAGGCCAATAAAACAGGAGGGTCAAATATAGGAATTTAGTGAAGGAAAACGAGTTGGATGGTTAAAGGGAAATTCCCAGAGAAGGGAAACAATGAAATTGAAAAGACTGTTGAATAGGTCAAGTTTAAGCTATCCCATATGAAAGGTTAGGTAAGGACATCCAAGAGAAGGACTTCTGATCAAAGCAGATAATTCCTTTTGTTTTGTTAGGGACAAGAGGCCTGTGTATATATACTTTAAGCATGTATCAAAGTCCTTCCCTAGGCAGACACTATTGACCTTTCCCAGGATACATCCCCACAAAAAAAGTTCTTACTCCTGGATAACTGTTTACCTAGGTAACCAGAGGCATTAGGTGAAAGGAAAAATGCTCAACTATTTCTCCCACCTGGGAATCGAACCCGGGATCCCTGATTACCTGCTTGATGGGGTTCTGGGAGTTCTTCTACTCCCCAAGCCTTTAGGCTTGATTTGTGAGAGTGTGGTCCAATAGGCTGTTGCTTTGAGCAGCCCGCAGGCCCGCATATCAAACACAGCCCAGTTGAAATTAGTGTTAACGGTCCAGGATGGACCGAAACGTCGTCGTCCCTTCATTTTCTAGTGTGTGGTTTGGTCAACTTAATTAATATTAAGTGCTAGATTTTTGTTGTTATTGGAAACAACACTAGTACCTATGATGTAATCTGGCAGCCACTTTCCACAAATGGCCATTTACATCTTTCTAGTAACGTCTTTCTAGTCTGTCTTTCTAGTAACTCGGCCTTATTATCTGTGTTAGGGAAGTTGTCATTACCCTTGTCTGAGCTACTGTATCCCACTCTTGCCACATAACTTTGCTTCAACTCCAAATAATGATACAGCATATCAGAAGAGAAGTCAGTGAAATTGTTTGTGTAGTGAGTGATCACAAGAAAACACAGTCACATAGGGCTGAATGAAACACAAAAACAGACACACACAAACACAGAAAAAAGAAACACAACAACAGAATGAAACACAGAAAACACATAGGACTGAATGTCTTAGAAAAAAGTATCATTTATGATTTAAACAAAGATTATGCACAGTGAGCATAACATCCTTAACCTCACTTGGCAGTAACATGCATACAATACACAAACTACCATTCCTATTCTAAGGATAATGCAAGCATCTCCAAAGTGTCTTCTTTCACCAGTATTATGATTCCTTTTTTTTTTCATCTTGCAGGTCTCGAGTGGGTTACCCAGTATGACTATGTAGCTGTCTTAGGCAAGCATAACATTTATCCGCATGACATCAATACCTATAGTCGTGATGATATCAACAGTGCCATCGCTGACATGTTTGGAGTTGATCCAGCCATTGATTGCATTTATAACAAGGTAATATATTCTCTCATTATATTTTTATGTTTTTGCACAGCAGAATCTCTTAACTAAAATTAAAAAAAAAAAAGAATGGTTCCTGAAGCCTTGCTGAATGGTTCTTTTACAGTACGAGAGAAACTTTTCCATACTTCCTTTATGGCAATAGCCAGTCATCCCTCACTCAGCCAAGCAAAGCCCCTAACTACTGTACAGCCCAACAGCAGCAAGAACAACTAATCATAAGATAGAAAATGGAAACGGACCACTGCACAACAAATCATGGAGCCGACAAAAATACATCTGAAATGGAATAGAAGGGAATGAACTTCCTCTCCAAGGAATGGGGAACTTGAGAAACTCAGGACTAAGGAATACAGGCCACAGTAATGAGCACAAAACGTAAGAAAGGACACAGCCGGCCACCAGCACCAGGGCAGGCATAAAGGTCAGACTCTCACCCCCAAACAGGGCAAGATGCAAAGACTGAAAAACAACAGCAGGATGAGACCAAACCAGAAAACAAGATCCAGAAATTCACTCACAGGGTTGTGGAGGAAGAGCAGAGTTTTAACGACGATAGATGGCCAGAGACAACTATGGATGATTAGTCTGTCATGTATGTACATGACAGCAACAGTCATGTATGTAATAGGCTCACCAGATGCAAATTGCTCAGTTTAGAAACTGTTGTGATCCAGTTCTTGAACCAATTGTGCTATAAAACACTATTGATATATATATACAATATAGACTAAAATATTTACCTAGCCTATCAAGACTGTAATTTGTTTAGCTAAGTGAACTTTGGGGGTTCAATCCCTGAGCTCATTTTGTGCCTCTGTAACCTTTTCCAGCTACTGCCCTCAATGATGGGAATGGAGGTGCATCATAAATGAACTAAATCAAAACCCAGGGACGATCGGAATAGAAGGTCCAACTGAGTCCATCGACAACTGTAGTCAGAGCCACCTCTAAAGATAGTGGTCTAAAGATGAAGGCTTTTACCACAAGCCTTCCATCCATTGAAGTCAGCACACATCCAGCCAGAAGCCACTTCAAGGAGCGAACCAATGGTGAAGGCTGAGAAACTGAGCAAACACAAGTGGCATAGAGACACTATAAGGAAAAGGAGCGAACTTAACACAAATGGGCCAAGCTAACCATTAAATTTTGTCCACCTAGAACAATTGGGATTTCCACCTCCCTGCTGCCTAAGCCCAAAATAGGACATAAAATGCAAACTAGAAGCCTGGTCCTAAAGCACAGCCACTGCTTGGAAAACTGCCAAATGACATTATGGCTTAGCAAAAATGCAAATCTAAAGGCGACAAACATTGCTCACCCGAGTGTAATGGCTCCCACCACTAATAGCAGTTTCAGAACTGAAGGCAGAGGAAGCCATGCCCACCTGATACCTATTGACCCCCACACTTACGTATATCAAATATACAAGTGGCAAGAGTGGGTTCTAATGTGAAAACTGAGTGCCTAACTCTCAACAGACCAATAATTATGGCAGGCTCAGCCTTCGTGATTCAGACACTAATCCCTGATCATAATAGTCATTCAGTCAAGGAACGAAAACCCGGGACGATAACAGCCAACTCGTATGATCCAAATGCACCCTCGGCCAAAGCATCACATGCAACAGCCATGCAAGCACATGATTAGCGGACTCGATCCTCATCAACAGGTCCCTCTTGTACACTCTGGAAGTAGGACAGCTGAGACAAGGCTGCTTTTGAAGAAGGAAAGCCTAGGAGAGAAAACCATTCTAATTAGGCCATCAGGATAATCTTAACACAACTGGAGTGAAGCTACACTCGCTCTCCATCAAGATGGCTGGCAAAGGGGCAGAAACCCATGTAAGTCATGGAAGCAACTTCTTTTGGGTGCTGCCTTGACATGGTGCTCTCTTTTGCTCCTCTCTTCTGCCTACTGCAGTGGTGCACAAGAGTAAAGCACCCTGTGGTTTTACCACCATGCTTTTTCTGCGAATATAGACTCTTATATTCCCCATTTTTCATTTACGATTGGTTATCAGGCCCTTGAGCCAGCCTAGCAGCTGTGACTCCTGAGGGGCAACACACTTGAATGGTGATGGAATAAGGTTAAAACAGAAGCTCCAGTGAGGCCCAACTATCACTTGGCTAGTATGTCTGGCAGGCCTAGTCAAATTTATGTCAAAAGGGCATTGAAGGGTAAGTATCCATATCAGTCCCTGGGTTACCGGTCAAACTCCTTCACTGGTTACCTATGTATCCATGAGAAAATGTATCCTTGAGGGACCTATGTATCCTTTCTCTGTTACCTCACCCCGGGATTGCCTGCATGTTTGTATCTTTCCTTGTTGAGCCCTGTTATAGGTGGGGTGCAGGGAAGGGAAGTCTCTCTAATTTTTGCTTACAGTAAGAGTCAGGGTTTTATTTCTTGGTATTACAGCAAGATAATATTCTTGGTGGTTGCTTGAGTTAGACTCGCCACTGTCTCCATATCTTGTTGCGTGTCAGAACAAGTTAGATTTCAGTCAAGATGTGGATGAGAGTATCAAGAACCTGGTGGCTGATATAAGTCCTAATTGGATTAAATTTCAACTGACTATGGGATGATCTGAGGCTCATATGCGGAAAGGAGCATTTCATTAGGCTCAACTCACTCTCTCTTTAAGCACTTGGCTAAGCAAGTTAGGCTACTGCTTATTAGTCAATTATGAAATTAAACAATTTTTTTATTGGAAGCTACCCAATTTATATGTTACGTACATTTAATATGCATTTAAAATAACAATTATTGTATGAGGGTTGATAGTTGAGCTACTTTTGAGTTTATGTTTAACAAGTTACTTAAGGGGGCATATCAATGTAAAATTAAAAGTGGTTCAATTTGCTTATAAATTTTTTTATGAAATGGTTATAGAAAGGGCTGCAGCTGGTCCAAGTTTCATCATCACAGCCTAAACAGAAAAGGAGAAAAAAAATAAACAACGAATTATGCAACGAATTTTCAAATAGTTTCAGGGAACACATGTGTTAACTAAAATCATTTCTATAACACTCAGATATTAAATTAAGCACATAATAAAGAATTCTAGTGATCAGTTTTATCAAAAAAGTGTTTAGTGCAATAATATAATTTTTCAAAGTTACCCTTCTAAAAAAATATGCAATATATGATATTTATAAATTTTTATAAAATCAACAAATAGACTTTGGACTAAAATGTCTACTAGATTCTGTAGAAGCACAAACGCTACATATAAGGTGTAATTTGCATGTAAATTGATTAATAAATGACAGCTCTGAAGTAATTTGAAGGTGTAAATTACTTTCCAGAGTAAAATAAAGATCCAAGTTCGGCCACCTGTAGCTGAGCTTGACTTCGACAGATTTCGTTCATAATTGGCACCCTTGCAGATAGGCTTCCATTGAGCAAGGTGTGCAAGTTTCATGCAAATCCCTTGATAACAAACGAGAAAAAAATATTGGCCAAAAAAAAGAAAAAAAAAAAAAAAGAAAAAGAAAAAAAAAATTAAATATAAATATATTGCACATACATATTACAATTATTACAAGAGTTTGTGCTTCTACAGCACATAGTAGACATTTAGTTGACACATGTGTTCCCTGAGATTATTTGAGAATGTTGAACATTCGTTGCATAATACGTTGTGTATTTTTTTTCTCCTTTTCTGTTTAGGGGCAAGATGCAAAGACTGAAAAACAGCAGGATGAGACCAAACCAGAAAACAAGATCCAGAAATTCACCCACAGGGTTGTGGAGGAAGAGCAGAGTTTTAACGACGATAGATGGCCAAAGACAACTATGGATGATTAGTCTGTCATGTATGTACATGACAGTACAGTAATATGTACATGATGGTAACAATCATGTATGTAATAGGCTCACCAGATGTAAATTGTTCAGTTTAGAAACTGTTGTGATCCAGTTCTTGAACCAATTGTGCTATAAAAGACTATTGATATATATATACAGTATAGACTAAAATATTTACCTAGCCTATCAAGACTGTAATTTGTTTAGCTAAGTGAACTTTGGGGTTCAATCCCTGAGCTCATTTTGGGCCTCTGTAACCTTTCCAGCTACTGCTCTCAATGATGGGAATGGAGGTGGTCATAAATGAACTAAATCAAAACCCAGGGATTGTTGGAATAGAAGTTCAACCAAGTCCATCAACAACTGTAGTCAGAGCCACCTCTAAAGAGTGGTCTAAAGATGAAGGCTTTTACCACAACCTTCCATCCATTGAAGTCAGCACACATCCGGCCAGAAGCCACTTTAAGGAGCGAACCAATGGTGAAGGCTGAGAAACTGAGCAAACAGAAGTGGCATAGAAACACTATAAGGAAAAGGAGCGAACTTAACACAAATGGGCAAAGCTAACCATTAAACTTTGTCCACCTAGAACAATTGGGATTTCCATCACCCTGCTGCCCAAGCCCAAAATGGGACATAAAATGCAAACTAGAAGCCTGGTCCTAAAGCACAGCCACTGCTTGGAAAACTGCCAAATGACATTATGGCTTAGAAAAAAATGCAAATTTAAAGGCGACAAACATTGCTCACCCGAGTGTAATGGCTCCCACCACTAATAGCAATTTCAGAACTGAAGGCAGAGGAAGCCATGCCCACCTGCATTACCCCCCTCACTTACGTATATCACATTTACAAGTGGCAAGAGTGGGTTTTAATGTGAAAACTGAGTGCCTAACTCTCAACAGACCAATAATTATGACAGGCTCATGGTACATACCTTGGTGATTCAAACACTAATCCCTGAACATAATAGTCATTCAGTCAAGGAACGAAAACCCGGGACGATAACAGTCAACTCGTATGATCCAAATGCACCCTCGGTCAAAGCATCACGTGCAACAGCCATGCAAGCACATGATTAGGGGACTTGCTCCTCATCAACAGGTCCCTCTTGTACACTCTGGAAGTAGGACAGCTGAGACAAGGCTGCTTTTGAAGAAGGAAAGCCTAGGAGAGAAAACCATTCTAATTAGGCCATCAGGATAATCTTAACACAACTGGAGTGAACACACTCACTCTCCATCAGGATGCCTGGTAAAGGGGCAGAAACCCATGTAAGTCATGGAAGCAACTTCTTTTGGGTGCTGCCTTGACATGGTGCTCTCTTTTGCTCCTCTCTTCTGCCTACTGCAGTGGTGCACAGGAGTAAAGCCCCTGTGGTTTTACCACCATGCTTTTTCTGCGAATATAGACTCTTATATTCCCCATTTTCCATTTACGATTGTTTATCAGCCCTTGAGCCAGCCTAGCAGCTGTGACTCCTGAGGGGCAACACACTTGAATGGTGGTGGAATAGGGTTAAACAGAAGCCAAGTGAGGCCCAACTATCACTTGGCTAGTATGTCTGGCAGGCCTAGTCAAACTTATGAGTCCAATTAAGTGGCATTTGAAGAGTTAGTATCCATATCATGTCCTGGGTTACGGTCTTTAGTAACTCCTTCACTGGTTACCTAAGGTGTATCCATGAAAAAAATGTTAATTCCTTGAGAGACCTATGTATCCTTTCTTAATGGTTACTCACCCGGGATTGCCTGGCCATGTTTGTACCTTTCCTAACGAATTGAGAAAAAAAAACACTGATTATGAAGATTAAGGGGTGCAGGGAAAGGTAAGAAGTCTACTAATTTAATTAGCTATAAGATACAGCCGGCCACCAGCACCAGGGCAGGCATAAAGGTCAGACTCGCACCCCCAAACCGGGCAAGATGCAAAGACTGAAAAACAGCAGGATGAGACCAAACCAGAAAACAAGATCCAGAAATTCACCCACAGGGTTGTGGAGGAAGAGCAGAGTTTTAACGACGATAGATGGCCAAAGACAACTATGGATGATTAGTCTGTCATGTATGTACATGACAGTACAGTAATATGTACATGATGGTAACAATCATGTATGTAATAGGCTCACCAGATGTAAATTGTTCAGTTTAGAAACTGTTGTGATCCAGTTCTTGAACCAATTGTGCTATAAAACACTATTGATATATATATACAGTATAGACTAAAATATTTACCTAGCCTATCAAGACTGTAATTTGTTTAGCTAAGTGAACTTTGGGGGTTCAATCCCTGAGCTCATTTTGGGCCTCTGTAACCTTTTCCAGCTACTGCTCTCAATGATGGGAATGGAGGTGGTCATAAATGAACTAAATCAAAACCCAGGGATTGTTGGAATAGAAGTTCAACCAAGTCCATCAACAACTGTAGTCAGAGCCACCTCTAAAGATGGTGGTCTAAAGATGAAGGCTTTTACCACAAGCCTTCCATCCATTGAAGTCAGCACACATCCGGCCAGAAGCCACTTTAAGGAGCGAACCAATGGTGAAGGCTGAGAAACTGAGCAAACAGAAGTGGCATAGAAACACTATAAGGAAAAGGAGCGAACTTAACACAAATGGGCAAAGCTAACCATTAAACTTTGTCCACCTAGAACAATTGGGATTTCCATCACCCTGCTGCCCAAGCCCAAAATGGGACATAAAATGCAAACTAGAAGCCTGGTCCTAAAGCACAGCCACTGCTTGGAAAACTGCCAAATGACATTATGGCTTAGAAAAAATGCAAATTTAAAGGCGACAAACATTGCTCACCCGAGTGTAATGGCTCCCACCACTAATAGCAATTTCAGAACTGAAGGCAGAGGAAGCCATGCCCACCTGATACCTATTGACCCCCCTCACTTACGTATATCACATTTACAAGTGGCAAGAGTGGGTTTTAATGTGAAAACTGAGTGCCTAACTCTCAACAGACCAATAATTATGACAGGCTCATGGTACATACCTTGGTGATTCAAACACTAATCCCTGAACATAATAGTCATTCAGTCAAGGAACGAAAACCCGGGACGATAACAGTCAACTCGTATGATCCAAATGCACCCTCGGTCAAAGCATCACGTGCAACAGCCATGCAAGCACATGATTAGGGGACTTGCTCCTCATCAACAGGTCCCTCTTGTACACTCTGGAAGTAGGACAGCTGAGACAAGGCTGCTTTTGAAGAAGGAAAGCCTAGGAGAGAAAACCATTCTAATTAGGCCATCAGGATAATCTTAACACAACTGGAGTGAACACACTCACTCTCCATCAGGATGCCTGGTAAAGGGGCAGAAACCCATGTAAGTCATGGAAGCAACCTCTTTTGAGTGCTGTCTTGACATGGAGCTCTCTTTTGCTCCTCTCTTCTGCCTACTGCAGTGGTGCACAGGAGTAAAGCACCCTGTGGTTTTACCACCATGCTTTTTCTGCGAATATAGACTCTTATATTCCCCATTTTCCATTTACGATTGTTTATCAGGCCCTTGAGCCAGCCTAGCAGCTGTGACTCCTGAGGGGCAACACACTTGAATGGTGGTGGAATAGGGTTAAACAGAAGCCAAGTGAGGCCCAACTATCACTTGGCTAGTATGTCTGGCAGGCCTAGTCAAACTTATGTCAAAAGGGCATTGAAGAGTTAGTATCCATATCAGTCCCTGGGTTACCGGTCAAACTCCTTCACTGGTTACCTATGTATCCATGAGAAAATGTATCCTTGAGAGACCTATGTATCCTTTCTCTTTGTTACCTCACCCCGGGATTGCCTGCATGTTTGTACCTTTCCTCGTTGAGCCCTGTTATAGGTGGGGTGCAGGGAAGGGAAGTCTCTAATTTTTGCTTGCAGTAGGAGTCAGGGTTTTATTTCTTGGTATTACAGCAAGATAATATTCTTGATGGTTGCTTGAGTTAGACTTGCCACTGTCTCCATATCTTGTTGCGTGTCAGAACAACTTAGTTAGATTTCAGTCAAGATGTGGATGAGAGTATCAAGAACCTGGTGGCTGATATAAGTCCTAATTGGATTAAATTTCAACTGACTATGGGATGATCTGAGGCTCATATGCGGAAAGGAGCATTTCATTAGGCTCAACTCACTCTCTCTTTAAGCACTTGGCTAAGCAAGTTAGGCTACTGCTTTTTAGTCAATTATGAAATTAAAAGATTTGTTTATTGGAAGCTACCCAATTTATATGTTATGTACGTTTAATATGCATTTAAAATACCCAATTATTGTATGAGAGTTAATAGTTGAGTTACTTTTAAGTTTATGTTTAACAAGTTACTTATAAGACGAGGGAAGTGAACAACTGTTGATGAAGCTTTGAGGATGCCAGGAACATTTATGGAGACAGACTTGGTGTGAAATTCCACATAAATGATCTCTGCTTTCATCATTCCTTTGCTTTCAGAAAACCAAGCAACACGAACTGTCACAAATCAAGTTATGTTTTGATCGCTCATTACACATAGTCAATTGTGATGGCATCATTGGCTATGAAGAAAATGTAATTGGAAACTGTCCTAAGAAAGGAATTATATACCCCTCATCTGTGAGGTAAGTAGATAAGCAAAGAAATTCAATTAAACTTTTATTATATCTATAATTAAACATTTATTATATAAAATATATGTACAATATTGCAATTTTATTTTCAGCATATATGCCACTGACATACATAGTGATAAGGTACAGTGCACCTTTTTAAATTTATCCTCAAGTGATTTATGTTTGTATATAATTTTGAACGAATACCCATAACTTACAAGACTGTATTCTATCTTGTATATTTTACTGGATGGAGTACCCCAGGTACACGTCCTTTCCTTCTTCCACTCTCCCTCAAACCCCACCCTCTTCTCCTCTCCCCCAATCCCCTCCTCTCTTCTCTCCCAATTCCTCCTCCTCTCTTCTACTCCAATTCCTCCTCCTCTCTTCTCCTCTCCCGCAATTCCCCTTCTCTTATCCTCTCTGCCTCTCTTCCCAACATTCCCCCATTTTTCTCTTCACTGTTGCCCAATCTTTGCCCTTTTCTAATTCCCCTTCTCCCACTTTCCCCCCCCTCCCCCCCCCTTGTCCACCAACACCCGCCTTTAGAAAGCTTGAGGTACCTCATACCAGCACGTCTGAAAGGTGTAATGACTAGCTAGACATCAATAATGCAGTGTGAGTGATCATGACCCATCTTCTTGATGGTACATGCAGTTTGCAGGCAGGGTTTATCCTTCCAATGACTACAAAAGTACAAATGTTGAGAGACGTGTCAGTGTTGAGAAAGACAAGGGTTTTAAAAGTGTTGTCTTGTGCTGTAGATAGAGGAGCGGCGACTAAACAAAGGTGTGTGTGTTAGAGGGAGACTTGTTGCACTGTATGGTAGGATGTTGTGTTTATAGCATCAGCTGATCATTGGTGCTGTGGCGAGGCAGTTATTTGCTGTGTTTGGCTGTTGGTGGAACCAGGTACAAATGTGGCACAGGTCAAGTGTGGCCCAATTTGTTGGTTGGATGTAAACATCAAAACTACAAAAAACATAATCCCTGATTTTATTTCAAACTATGAAAATCACAGGGGTTGACTATTGATGGTAATATTTCTTAGTGTGGTGCTGTGACTGACCATGACTGGCCTATGACATTCTCATACCCTAATGATTTATCTTGGAAAAGTTGGGCGAGGCTAGCCCCCAAACATTTGGCCTCAAACCTCGGACAGACTTGGCCGAACAAATAGATAGACATTCTCATTTATGCAGTTTTCAAGTTCATGCTATTTCTGCAAAATGGTGTTGCAGATTTCTATGCATACTTGTACTTGATGGGTTGTGTGTTAGGTTCTCTCCAGGAGTCCTCTTGGCACATCTCCCTTCTGTTCTCTACCAAGTTTTTATCTTATCCTTGAGGAAGAAGCAGGTTTCACTGATTTTGGTAGCAACAGGTGTGTGTCTCAGCTGCTCAGCCAGGTTGTTCGTGCTGTAATCTGTAGTCCCAGTTCCATCTTTGGACTACATTCCAGGAGTTCCTGTCCTAGTTATGGTTTTGTTCTGAGCTAGGCACTGGTGCATGCACTACAGGCTTTTTTTTCAGTGCCAATATCTGGAAACTACCCTATCTATGCTATTATCATTATATAATAACAGCTGCTGTATTCTCTTGTGCTGTCAATGTCAGATTGTCCAACACCATTTTGTGCATGCCTTAATTACCATTTGTTCAATGGCAGGTTATGGTTTTGTTGTACTTTGCAAGTCCAATTTCATACTACTGTAGCCTAAAATATTTCAATGAAGTTTAACCTTTCAAATGTGCATGTCAAATAGGGTTGACTATACCATATCTGACCCTACTGTGCAAGTCAAATAAAGATGATTTAGAGTACAGCATAAGATTTTAAAAGTCCTGCCTGTACACACACACACAGGGCTCACATTTCTTTCCTCAGACCACCAGTAAACAGATGCCATCTTGGAAAATATCATGGGCACCCTTGCAGTGTGTGTGTGTGAGGGCCTCGTTATTGAGACCTCATTATTGAGAGACCATGGGTAGCGCATGCTGCAGTAGCTCGCAGCACTCCCAAGCAGGTTGTGTCCACAGCATAACTTAATATCGACAAAATAAATACAGTAACAACAATTATTTTGCATTGATAGTGTTAAAGAAGATTGTGACTGTGATAAAGACTAGGTGCAAGGTTGAGACATCAGTGATCACAATGTGGGTTATGATTTCCACAGTGGGAGGCAAACATTCACAGCACACAACTGAGGTTTCGTGCATTTATGCTTCATGAAACGTGACCTCATGTTCCCTTATAAAATATAATTGTGGAAAATTATTCTTATTCATTATTTATTGACATCAGGGTTTGAGAAAGGATGAGGTGACAGATCAAATGAATAAAAAAGTATAAGATAGAACAAGAGAAGAAGCTTTCTCAAGGAATAAAGGCATATCAAAGAAGATAAAATATAATTGGTGATGTATGTAAATACAGTGCAGTACTTAAAGTATTTTGCATGTGTTCAGAGGGATGAGAATTCAGTATTGTATGCTCTTCTCAGTAAACAATACATAAATAAATTGTGAACTTCATTTAAATAAATCACATTATTGCCAATGAATTTAAATATCTACTCAATACACTACAGATGTTTTTTGTTTTCCCTATGACTAGGACTGGGGGAAAGGAATACAGTTACTCTCGGAAGTTGGCCGACCTGCGAATACAACGCTGGGAAGAGGCGCAAGCCACATGCGTTTCATGGCTGTGTCATGCTCTAATGATGGTCTATTCTCTCATGTGGATTACTCTCTGAACTCATGAAGTCAAACATTGCGGATGGCCTTGTATTTTAACTTTTAGCTATGACTTTTTTTTTAATAACTTTTAGCACATCCATAGTTTGTAAAGTACAACTTTATTTTGTATTTTAAAATATTTAATATGCAACATTATTGTTAATTTCTGTAAATTATGTAATTGTTTAAAATTTAAAAAAAATTGTATTTTGTATTAGATTATATTTGTATTGACTGTGTTCATACCTCAGGTTGAAATACTGTACCAGTTTGTCCATGCTAGTGTCAGCTGCTTAATACAATTTACTGGTTAGTTGATCAAATTTTGTATGGATACTAATGAAGTATTGTAAGCACTTTAAAGGATAGAACGGATGCAATTACTGTGTATTCAAGTCTTAATTTAATAGTCTTGTATTATAAATTATTTTTGAAGGATTGCAGCTTGACTTTTTAACAAAGAGTTTGGTATATTGTTAAAAATGCTGTATATAATTGTAGTCATTAGTGTAAGTTTATAAGGCATCTAAACACTCATAATACAAAATTGTAGCATTCATTTTGCTCAATATCACGATCTGTGATGATTCAATAGGCCTATTCTATTACATAATTGCTACCAGTTTCTTCCTCACTTTATTTGGAGTGAACATACACATTTGTTTCTCTTTATCTTACACAGGGTATCTCTTTCATTACAGATTTTGAGTTTCTTTATTTTTGTATCCATTAATCCCTAACTTGGGGGGAGTAGTGTGTGTGTGTGTGTGTGTGTTTCCTGTGACACTTCCCCCTTGTTTCTCTAATATGGGGGACGTTCACAGGATGTTTCTAAAACTTGCTCATGGTTCCTGAATATGGGAAACGTAAATGAAGTGTCCTGTGATACACTTCCCCCATGGTTTTTGTGTCTTTGGCCTGTTCACACTCCTGCACTCCATGTGTTGCTCTGACACATTTTCTCAACCTCGACATTGCCTTGTTAGCAAATGTATTTGATCTGTTTTCTTATTTTATACATTTCCCTTACTTGTTCCTTCATTTTTTTTCATTTCATTCTTTCTTTCACGTTATTGTGGGCTTTTTAAAGGAGTTACTCAACATTGTTCCTCAAATGGCAACTGCTCAAGTTATTTACCAGATGTTTAAAAATGTTGCCACATATACCTGGGCAAGATTCTGTTTATCATCCTCTAAGAGGAGTTCTCAGGATGATTAATATATATATATATCACAGTATATATATATATATATCTCTCACACACACAAAACTAACAGGGAAGAGTTCCTGAGGCCTGAAACTTCAAGAACAAGAGGACATAGATTTAAACTAAGTAAACAAAGCTGTCGAAGGAATATAAGAAAATTCACTTTCGCAAACAGAGTGGTAGATGGTTGGAACAAGTTAGGTGAGAAGGTAGGTGGTGGAGGCCAAGACTGTCAGTAATTTCAAAGCATTATATGACAGTGCTGGGAAGATGGGACACCATGAGCATAGCTCTCATCCTGTAACTACACTTAAGTAATTACTTACATCGCCATAAACACAATCATCAGATTCATCACACCAGTTAATAGTTAGAAAGGGAAGCAAGGAGTTTTGGCTTGCTCTTGGCATACACAACTAAGTGAATAAATGCGCACACACATGCATGTGCTGTATTAACCAAAACGTTTTTGTATTAATCAGATAAACACAAATTTCATCACACCACTGTTTGCATTTCATCATATTACATCATCATATATACAATGTGCCACATAGCAGCCTGTGTGAATATATTTTAATGGCCAAGCTGAAATCTGTTTTTAACATAAATTATTATTGTGCAATACTGGCGCAATACAGAGCCAAAAATTTTCTAAAAAAAAGTTGTAAATACGTGTATTAATTATTTTCCTAGATGTCAGAGGAATGATATGTTTATTAGGCACAGCATTTTCTTTTAATAAAGTCATGATTTCTTCAATTTGAATTTTGGACTGCATATGGTATGTAGATAGTTGCTGTTATAATCCCAGCGTGTATATAATGTCTTCTTGTATATTTGATTTTCTGTTCAGTTGGTCCTCACCCTGCGCACTTTTTCACACATGTATTTGTGTTTTTATCATCAAGATTTAAATGGCATATGGGGTGAGATCACCTCTGCATGAGGTTCCTGCAACAAAAGTTGTTGCTTTGGTCAGCAACATCTAAATATCAGACTTTTTAACACTGCCACTCTTCAGAAATCTTTGTTGTCTTGTATCTGACAGTATTTTTGTCACATTTTACATGTAAGTTCTTGTATCATGTCATCTGTCATGTTACTTGCATAGCATTATGTTCTGTATTTGTGACCGGAAAGTGACGAGTATTTAATAATATATTCAGATTGGTGTTTTATTGAGAATTTACCTGACTTTACCTCAAGGCCACACCATCTCTAGTGGCCTCGACAGGGAGAGGAAGTCGGCAGCTTGTCAGAGGTACCCACAATGCTCGTGAAAGATGGGAAACAGTAGATTTTTGGACCTCTCTCTATAATGGATTCCAGTAAACAATAGACTTAAATTTCTCCATTGGATTTCTTTTCCAAAATTCAGATGTCTAACAAATTCAGATTTTGGAGGAGTATGCAATGAAATTCAGTTTATCACAAAAAGTAATTTCCATCAAATCTCATTTTTTTTTCTGTATAAGCTTACTTTTCTGGGGAATGAGGGTGCCTCTTGTGGCTCCCTGAAGCTATTTTGCCGAGATGGCTTCCAACTATTTTTTTTTTTATTTATGTATACAAGGATTGTTACGTTCTTGTACAGCCACTAACAGCATTGCATTTCGGACAAGTCCTTAATCCTATGTTCCCCGGAATACAATCCGCCAAATTGTTTAACAACCAGTTACCCATTTTACTGTTGGGTTATACAGAGGCTACAGTTAAGGATTGACGCCCAGTAAATCCTCCCCGGCCAGGATACGAACCCAGGACAAAGCGCTCACGAAATGCCAGTCTTATCACTACACCATGGAAACATACAACTATAAGGTACATCAGCTGCAGCATTGTTTGACCTACCGAGGACCATCTGGCTCTGCCTTACCACTAATTAGGTAAGAGGTACTGTAATTTTTTATTATTATTATTATTATTATTATTATAATATATATGGTGCTATATAGTCCCCCTGGTTTGCTGCTGCCTTTTGATAATCGCTACTTTTTTATTTGTAAATATTCAAAATAATGCACTTATATTTGATATACATATATACATTAAAAAAAGTACCTATATACTGTATGTGTATTTATTGTACTGTATAGTATTAATGTCCAAAAATAAGAAATTTTGAAAAAATTTGGATTTCATGCAAATCCAAATTAGGTCTGAAACTATGTTGTTCACCAATCTGAATTATGGAGGTGCACTTGCATATCCTTAATTATTTGATAGCTAGTGCTAGCATTGCTCTATGCAAATTCACCTTGCATAAGATACACTACTGTCTTCCTGAATTTACCAGAGGGCCGCTATATATTTAACGACCTTGATGGGGACAGCAAGCCGCTGGCTTGTCAAAGGTCTTCCGTAATTAGCTGGTCAATTATATTACAAAATTTTACAAGGGGCTTCTGTGTAGTTTACACAGAAGCCCCTTGTAACCCCGAGTATCTTTGTGGATAGCAGTAAATCAATAATGGTATAATTAATTTTAATTATGCAATTTAAATAGTTATCCATTAAAATCGTCCCCCCCCCTTTTCCCCTGTCCCAAGGCTGGTGAGGTTTCAAGTTCAAGTAAGTTTATTGAGACAAGAAAAAAAAATACATTTCAAAGGGATAGAGTAACTTAGGCTATTTCTACCCCCCCCCCCCCCCCTCCAAGTGAGGTTCCAGTATTGACTCAACGTTCAAAACGTTTACTCAACGTTACGGGCGCATCTGCCCGCCGCGGGATATTTATCTAAAACGTTTTCTGCTGGAAGTCTTAATTAATAATAATTGTGGTTGTTTGGGGGAGTACACATATATGTTGGGAGACCTGAGTGTATAAACAACTGCTGCCGCCCAACAGAGTAGTTAATAGATGGAATGCATTAGGCAGTGATGTGGAGGCTGACTCCATACACAGTTTCAAATGTAGATATGATAGAGCCCAGTAGGCTCAGGAACCTGTACACCTGTTGATTGACGGTTGAGAGGCGGGACCAAAGAGCCAGAGCTTAACCCCCGTAAGTACAATATCATAAACAGTTTAATTTATTAAAAACAAAATAACTAATGGAAACTTACCAGACGACGCTGCCAGGAAGGTTGCCATACACTGCCGGTGTCCCCTCGTCTACCCTCTTTATCACTAATCAACATTATAATATCTACGTTTTTAGAGGGCGAGGTGTACTAAGAGAGCCACAGACTCCATCTTAGTCACTTAATAATTGTAAATGCACAATAGCTACGAGATCAAGGGAATATTAATTAACTATGACGGGAATAGGATGACTCCAGAGCTTGCCCTTGCAAATTCATTTTAATTAAGTAGTATAACTTAACGACTTCAAATGCCATTCCTTTATTTAATGACAAAGCACTAGGCATAATTCCGATGACATGACACTCGCGAGTAATGAAGTTGTTTATATAAACATGTGACGTTAGACAAGAGGGAAGGTTCCCAGGAGCACCGACCCAGCAACACTGAGGCTGGCCAGGCCGCCTCCCTCCCATCCGTCCCGACCCCAACACACACGTCCAGGACAAGTTCATGGAGCGTGTCAACCCTTGGCCACCTGTCCTCGGTATACCGTAGTACTCTGTCACGTAATGCTCATAAATTTAAATTTAAATTTTGCCCCGAGGGGCGAGTTTATTGGGCAGCGCCACTCATCTTGTGAGTGGACACACCGCCATAGTTCCTATGCTGGTGATGTTCACAGTTTCTCTGTGGTAGATTTACATTTTATTTTTAATTTAAATTTTGCCCCGAGGGGCGAGTTTATTGGGCAGCGCCACTCATCTTGTGAGTGGACATACCGCCATAGCAGCATGTACAACACTCCCCAATAGGAAGAAAACCCGCTGGGTTGTTCATCCTGTCACTTGTACCCAGACACAACTGGGACTTGCTTAACTGTCTCAAGTGAACAGCTCCTCAAACAAGAAGATTAACATCTATCAACCCTTAAAAGCTTACGCCTGTCCTCGGTATACCATAGTACTATGTCACGTAATGCTCATAGTACCTATGCTGATAATGTTTACAGTTTCCTGTGGTAGATTTACAGTTATTAGCTGTCACCAGGCACCAACCCTCCTTCCTCCCGTCCCATTTGGGTATTAGGTTTCCACCTGTGTTCCCTTGTTTGTGTCCCACCCGTGCTAAACAGTTTATCGTTATCTACCCTGTCAATTCCCCTGAGAATTTTGTATGTGGTGATCATGTCTCCCCAATGTCCTCCAGTGATGTGAGGTTCAGTTCCAGTAACCTTTCCTCATAGCTCATACCTCTCAGCTCGTGGACTAGCCTAGTGGCATACCTCTAAACCTTTTCTAACTTCAGTTTGTGTTTGACTAGATGTAGACTCCATGCTGGAGCCCATATTCCAGTATTGGTTTGACATATGAAGTATACAAGGTTCTGAATGATTCCTTACACAAGTTTCTGAAGAAATTTGCGTAATATTTTCCATCTTATTCGAATCTCATGGATCAGCTACATCCTATTGAAGGCTCGTAGTTTAGTTTTGAGAAACCTTGGTTGAGTCCACAAGTACTCTGCACCCCACCCTCAAACAGCCGATGGGTATTGGGTAATATGTGCCCAATATGTAATATGCGTTTATGCCCGAAACGCTTTGCGTAATAGTGGCTTTAGGCATTGTATGTACTAGCTATACCTATAAGTTAAACAATCCTTGTAAATATTTATTGTATGTATGTACCTTACCTAAATAAAATTGTATTGTATTGTTGTATGTGAAAAAAATTATTAATTAATAATTACCAAAGCAATCAATTTATTATACAGTTCGTGATTCCTGGGAATGGTCAGTAATTCGGCCTTTTGTGGAATACAGAGCACAGAGGACGGCACGGAGACCTTGTGGTACAGAGCACAGCGGACGGCACGGATGTAACACCCAGGGAAGCCTTCTCCAAGAGGTCAGCCCAGATGACCTCCGGTTTATCTTGTATATTGATTAAAAATTCCTGGGTTAGTCTTAGTCAGCATAGTTTCAAGTATGTAATATTTCATGCAAGGAAATTAGACTCCAGATTCTTATGTGTAAACATCCCTGGATCTCCCCCTTTTGGCCAGGTCAGAGGTCAGTCACACATGTAATTAATAACTCCTCTCTTAAAAGGGAGCTGTAACACCCAGGGAAGCCTTCTCCAAGAGGTCAGCCCAGATGACCTCCGGTTTATCTTGTATATTGATTAAAAATTCCTGGGTTAGTCTTAGTCAGCATAGTTTCAAGTATGTAATATTTCATGCAAGGAAATTAGACTCCAGATTCTTATGTGTAAACATCCCTGGATCTCCCCCTTTTGGCCAGGTCAGAGGTCAGTCACACGTAATTAATAACTCCTCTCTTGAAGAGTGTATGGTGAATGTCAAACAAGCTTTTTGAAATATTTCTTGAGTGTTTGTACACTTTTGGTGGGTAGCAACAGCAGATCTCCCCCTCCCCCCTGTGGGGGGTTGTATATAGAGGGCCTGTAGGAACATAGGGGCAGAGTACGGTACACCGGGATCGAGAGCGGGTCTGTGAAGAACATCTCAGCCCGGGAGAGACAGAGGTCTTAAGGTAATGTGTGTGGTCTCTGAGTTTTTGTTCCATGTCCAAATTTCTTAACTTTTTGCCAGTGTTAGAGTAGCATTTATAAGTGGTGATTGACATAATTTTGGTCTCAATAAACTCGTTAAATTTCCCGTCTGTGTCAATTGTTGAATCCTCTTAGCCTTTTGGATATAGTGGCTGACAACCGTTTTCAAAATTAATGACAGTCATAGAAAGTACTCTCCAAGTCAAGCAATGTTTCTTGCCTCGTTGCTTGATATAGATTCAATGGTCAAAGGCAGATGGTGGCAGCGTATTTCATCCTGTGTTAGCATCTCCTTGTTGGCAGTGTACTTTGTAGTCCCGGTGTAACCATCATATGTCAGCCCATAACAGTGTTACCAAGTGCAACCGATGAGGAAGTGTTACTCAGGATCAGTAGTGTGTACATTATAGTGGTGTTCCATTTTAATAGTGGTGCATTGTAGGGCGGTGGTACATTTTAGGGTGGTGTTACACGGAGACCTTGTGGTACAGAGCACAGAGGACGGCACGGAATGCTCTCGCTCCCCATGGAGTTTACACACTCACGATTCCCCATCGAGCCGCCAC